ATGTTGAAAAGGAGCGGATAGAGACCCGACCCCTGCGGCACCCCACAAAAGAAGGGCTGAGGATGGGACCTCTCGCTCCCTATCACCACAGATTGGGATCGGCCCCAGAGAAAGGAGGTGAACCAGCCCAAAACTGTGCCACCCACCCCCAATTCCCTGAGCCATCCCAATAGGATACCGTGGTCAACGGTATCGAAAGCCACTGAGAGATCAAGGAGAGCAAGGATGGTTGCACTTCTACCATCCCGCTCCCGCCAGAGGTCATAATAAGTTCGACCAATGCCGTTTCTGTTCCATATCCAGGCCTGAAACCTGACTGGAAGGGATTCAGATAATCCGTTTTCTCCAGAACCCTTTGGAGTTCTATTCTATTTAACCCTTCTAGGGGCATAAATGGCATCAATAGATTAACCCGTTTTCACCTCTTGATTAGGGTTGAATGAGAGCCGAAAACATTCCTTTTACTTGTATTTGCTCATACAATATCAGCACATAGCCAAGTTACGCTGTTACGCTGGCAAATAGTACTATCACATTCATGACATGTTTATCAGTTGGTGAGATCATGAATTCCAACTATCAAGAAGAATTTTTAAAAATGTTACATGAAAGGGCATAAAAAATGGGTGACCTTTCAAGGGCCCCCCAAAACATGTGAGCTGGGTCAATCATTATCAAAGGAATGAACTATCTGAAACACTAGGAAAGTTCTATAATGGATTCTTTGCTTTGAATGCATTGCTTTTGTTGGCTATGATTGGTTTTTCCAGCCTTTTAGTTCTGCTTTGAACTTTTGCAGTTGTCTAAGTTCCAGCTGATTTCATCAGATGGTGAAATACATTAGTACAGTCTAACAACCTTACTGGGAGCAGCAGATATCTGGCTTCTCTCCCTCCAGAACAATCTCCTGCCACATCCATCTGCTCATCATATAGTCATGTTGACCAGACTATATATATGAATGAAAGAGCAGGGAAAGAGTTTCTTTTCATTCCTTTTCCTTTTGCATCATGCTTTTAAATTGTAAGCCACTGTGATTATCTCTATTCTATTCTTTCTACAGAATGTAATAGCTTTAGAATACTTCTCTTTTATTATTTTATTTTATATTGGTGCTTAATCTAGGTGCTTTTAATAAGCATTTAACTGAATTTGATAGTGTCCAGTTGTCCTGCTCCACAGGTGGGTGGATGTGGGTTCCTGTATGCAAAATTGGGCACCAGGGATAGATTAAATACATCACCCACTTTGCCATCCATAATCATCCCTATCCAAGATACTCAGCCTCATCTCATGTATATGGGATTTTAACCTGTCTAGGGGACGGGTTCAGGATTTGCTTGGGTTTTCATGGGTTCATGATAATTATGGGTTTATTTCAAATCATCATGGGCTCAGCATACATGGGGAGTCACTCTTGGTCACCAGCTTTCACTTTGGAGCAGTGAGAATGTGATCTGGAGATGGAAGACATTACCATCAGTTTTTTATCATTCTGATTACCTTGTGGTCACCATGAGGCTAACTGGCACCATCAATCTCTGCAGAGGGAAGGTAACAAGCAAGAAATCCTGCCCCAAGTGCCTTATTGATCCTTTCCCAACAATCAAGCAGGCAGTCAGATGCCGAGTCAATCTCTGGAATATGGAGAAGGCAAAAGCACTTCATTTATTTACTATTTATTACATTTTTGTTCCACCCTTACTTTATGTCAGCTCAAGGCAGTGTGTGTGTGTGTGTGTGCGTAGCTCAAGGCAGTGTGTGTGTGTGTGCGTAGCTCAAGGCAGTGTGTGTGTGTGTGCGTAGCTCAAGGCAGTGTGTGTGTGTGTGCGTAGCTCAAGGCAGTGTGTGTGTGTGTGCGTAGCTCAAGGCAGTGTGTGTGTGTGTGCGTAGCTCAAGGCAGTGTGTGTGTGTGTGCGTAGCTCAAGGCAGTGTGTGTGTGTGTGCGTAGCTCAAGGCAGTGTGTGTGTGTGTGCGTAGCTCAAGGCAGTGTGTGTGTGTGTGCGTAGCTCAAGGCAGTGTGTGTGTGTGTGCGTAGCTCAAGGCAGTGTGTGTGTGTGTGCGTAGCTCAAGGCAGTGTGTGTGTGTGTGCGTAGCTCAAGGCAGTGTGTGTGTGTGTGCGTGTGTATACATACACACATACATACATCTAATATCCCTCCTTCCTATTTTTTCCACAAAAGCAACCCTGTGAAGTGGGTTGGGCTGAGAGAGACTCCAAATTCACCCAACCAGCATGAGTTGGACCCCTGGCCAAACAGAATCCAACAAGATGAAGGGGTAATCGAGGATCTGTTTGATCTAAAAAGAAGTGAAGAGTGAGAGGAGGTCTTCCACTTGTGTGCTCGATCCATGCCATTCCTGGTTTCTTCAAACTGCCAGTGAAAAAATGAAAGCCTGGATGTGGGAGGTAGGGAGTGCCTCTTTGAGGAAGGAGATGGTATTGAAAGCCTTTAAAGAGAAGGTTGTGCAGCTTCTCCTTAACTCAACAGCCATTATCATTTAAGACAACTATGGGCCAGTCTCGCGCCTTTCCTTTTTAGGGAAGATTGAGAAGGTGGTGGAGGAACACTTACAGAGGGCTTTGGCTGAACTTGATTATCTGGACTCTTTCCAGTTCAGGTTGAAGCCTGGACATGGAGTGGAAACCACATTGCTTTTTCTTGTAAATGACATGTGTTCCTCTTTGAGCTGCATCATCCCTCAGTGGCATTCAGTACCATCAATCACGATATCCTTTTGGGCTGTTTGCAAGAGCTGGAAGGTGGGCACTACTTTATAGCAGTTTTACTCCTTCCTGTCTCTATCAGTGTTGTTGGAGCAAAAAGGACCCTTGGACATTTCAGTGTGGGGTGCTTCAGGACATGGCTTTCTCCTGTCCTTTTCAATATTAGGAAAAATCATTCATTGGTTTGAGGTATCAGCATACTGCTGATACCCAGCTTTATATCTCCACCACAGGCCAAGCAGGAGATGTATGTATGTATGTATGTATGTATGTATGTATGTATGTATGTATGTAATTAATTTGTATGCCGCCCATCTCCCCCAACGGGTGACTCTGATAGGTACTGGAAGTCAGTATGCAGTGCCTGGAGGCTGTGGGGGGCTAGATGGGATGGAACAGGCTTAAAATAAACCCCAGCAAGTTACTGTTTGTTTAGAAAACCTCAGACTCCAGAAATCTTCCATCTTTAGCTCTGGACAGGGTAGTACTACCCTGCAGGATCAGGTCTGCAACTTGGGAGCACCTCTTAGCTTGTGGCTACTGCTGAATCACCAGTTGGAAGCTGTGGCCAGGAGGGATTTTGCCCAACTTTGGTTAGTACACCAGTTGCAGCCTTTTCTGGATAGGGAGCTCTAGTAGCTCATGACCTTATCATTTCACACTGGCATGCAATACTGATATTTTATGGTGGAAACCTGAACTCTTAGCCCCAGGTTTCTGTTGAAATATAGTGAACTTCCAGCCTTACACTTGATCCAAGTATAGCAATACATTCCAGTTTGAGGAAAAAATTACCTCTGTTTGGAAAAAAAAAATCCATTATGACTTGTTTACAGGAAATAGAGAGAAATGTTTTCTAGTACTATCTCCTCCATCTGCTGTCTGCCAAAATAATTGAAGTGCTGGGAAAGGTAGACTATGAGTATAATCACAGAATTTTCCAAGAAAAAATGTTGGAATCATCCAAAAGGCACTCTTGGAATAGAGTAATTAACTTCAAAATTATTGTGCGAATAAACATGGCCTAAGGATGCAACCAACTGTAAAACCAGTACAAGTAGAAGAGAAATGGCAAAGTCAAAACCAAATTAAAGAGGATGGGGAAATGGTTAGGGAATTATTTTTTCTTCTTTTCTGGGATGAGAACGAAAAAAACCATCTGCAACCCAATGTCAGAAATATTGGCTTCAACTCTATCAAGTAATGAGTTTGTCTTTTGGCCATACCTTGGGTCTTTAGGAAATAAAGCAATCTTTCTGGCTGCAGTTCCTCCAAATGCATCTGCTTTTTAAATTTTCTGAAATTATCTTATAATGCAAGTGAAAATATTTCAGCGGATAACTGATAGAATGCCAAAAGTCAATCCTGCTTGTTTATTGGAATTTTAATTGTATTAATTTTTTCTGTAAACGTTTTAAGCAGATAAGCTTGAAAAAGTTAATGTTCATGCACTAACATAGGTATCTGTGTATTTTGATATTTGTAAAAGCTCAAACGTAAAGTAAAACAAGTTATCAAAGAGGAGATTAACAAAGTATGGGAGTCTATCTTTGAAAAGCTTTTCAAAAGAGATTTGAAGTAGATCCTGCTTTGAAAGATGCATAAAGTATTTGAGCATGGTGCCTTGGACTGTAATAGTTTAACTGAATGTATAACACATGTTATCAACTGCTATGGATTTGTGTTTCTCCAGCTTTTTAAAACTGACATTTTTTATATGCGTCTCATACAACTGGACTAGGCACAGAGCTACAATTGCCTTCTGCTTCCCATTTTCATTTTCCCACCTTTGAATCCAGGCTAATTGAACTTTCTGTCTACTGCATCACCATTCCCTTGCTCTTGGCTAGTTGGTGGCCCCTTAGGCTATCTGAATGACTAAGCACACTCTCTTACATCCATCATTTTATAGTTGGAAGAACAAAAGTTGACGGTATATTAGGGATCCCCTTCAGAAGACTAGTCACTTCGGTGTTTCTGCTCTACGTGTCAATTCATTTTTTTATTCTGTCAGTGAGCTCAGATAGCAAGATATTAACTATGTTAAAAAAAAAAAAAAAAAACTTTCAGGAAAAGTGCACCAAGAGGACAACTACCAACCTGTCAGCTGTTACACCAAATGATCTGTTAGTTCCATCCTTCCTTCCTGATTCTTGAATATTGCACAGCATTGTGACAATCTGTGACCACTAGAGAATTTATGAGCTAAATTTGTACTAAATCATCCATGTTGCCTGGGTTTACATATTGAACTAAGCCATGCTTTACAAACCACAGATGTTAGATTAGCACAACCACCTAATGATGTGTGTGGTGTGAACTCCACCAGAGTAGAATGAATTATCCAAGGCAGCCATCCCTTACCTAGTGTGCTAGATTCCAACTCCCAGAATGTCCTATCTACAACCTGCCAATTCATGGACATGATCAGAAATGGCTTCCTTTACATAGTTTTGAGGCTATTCAGGCATTTCATGGGTCCTTTCCTCCGAAGAACCTCAAATGAATGAAAATAACTGTCCACCATTTTGGTTCCCCCACTGTGTCTGAGTCTCAGCCTTCTGCGTGACATGAAATAAGATTCAGTTGCCAACCAATTGACTTCTATACATAGAAATAGAAGGGTGGTGCCATCTTCTTTGCCTCAAGAAGCAAAAAGTCTGGGTCTTCATCATCAATTCATGCACTCAGGCCCTTCATTTTTCAGCTCAGCTGTGTCATGCATATCAGAAGCTCAGATACGTATTTTGCTCATTTCCAGTCAAACTTCCTCACAAAAGATTTGCAATATGTGCAAAAAAAAATATCTGTGCTTCAGATGAACATGTCAGGCAGTTTGATCCCTGTTTGCATGGCATGAATTAGGCTGAAAGCAAAAAGAGTGCAGTTGTAAAGAAGGTCATGATCTCAGCTGCTGACAGTAAGCTGCTCAGGTAGATTTTAAGTGAAAGGAGATTGTAATATTTAATGAAATAATATTGTGCATACAATCTGATAGCCTGAACAACACAACTATTGATTATACTGTAATAATTTAAGTTCTGTTAACAAATATTGTTTGGAAATATTGGATGTGAATAGCTATGAGGGTTAATATTTCTAACTTTTTTTTCCAGTGTGGCAAATGCAACTATAAGTTTCACTTCTAATTCAACTGTTTTACTAGACATAGATGAATGTCGCTATGGATACTGTCACCAGCTATGTGCCAATGTACCTGGCTCCTATTCCTGTACCTGCAACCCAGGATTTGTCTTGAACGAAGATGGAAGATCATGTCAAGGTATTGCATAGAGGAGGGAAGGGTGAGAAAAAGAAGGATTTCAATTCCCAGACCAGGAATTTATTTCAACATTCATATAACATTATGAATATATTTATCCCAGCAACTTTATACTATTTCCCATATTGAAAATAAGTTGTCAGCAGAGTAAAGTAATTATTCTATAGTTAACTATACAGTGGTACCTCGGGTCACGAACAGCTCCATTCGCAAAATTTTGCCTCCGTTCGTGAACACTGGATCGGGTCACGAACAGGATCCGCGGCCATTTTCCCTCCTGTGACATGTGGTTGTGGCTTCCTGTAGGGAGGGGGACTCTCCCTCCAAGCAATAACCGCCTCCCCACCCGCCTTCCTGGCCTCCCCTCCAGCAGTCGCGTTGAGCACGGGTAGTGTTCTCTCT